GGGGGGGGGGGGGGGAGGCTGGTAATGGAGGGGTGGCTCATGGGAGAGCAGTCAGCTGTGCATCTTGTGTTAGCTGGAATAATATCAGTTGGTTGTAAAACTGAAGCTGCAGTGGAGAACTAAATAAACTTGACTAGTTTTTGCTTGGTGTGCATTTCCTTGTGAGCCATCACTTGGTTATACTGGGGACTGTGAAGGAAATTCCAGAGGCTCCTGTTGGTGCCTCTCGTGGGGAGACAAGTGGGATTCCTGTGTGTGGTCTTCATCTGTCCTCTGCAGGGTGTGATGGCGAAAGGTGCGGAAACTCACTTCAAACCCCTGTTATTACCTGTTGGGGCTGGATTAGGAGCAGATGATAACCCTTTTGTGTGGTTTTGGATCATCTTGTGGCAGAGTAACCTCTAGATCAGCCATTAAGGGTTAAACCCAGAAGGGTTAATGCAGTCTGGACCCCACTTGTGCTGCTGTGGGGGAGTGGTAAGATCACTCTTGCACCCTTTGCAAAGGGGAAGGTTATGCTTAAAGGGTTAAAATGGCAACAGATTGATTAGTTGCCTCTTTCCACCCCCCAGCAGTTGGCTGGATATTCTGCCCTTGGCCTTGCTTGAATTCCAAGGGGAAAGGGTCAGGAAACTGGAGTTTGGAATAAGGGGTTGTGCCCCTCCTGGAAGGGTTTTCTGGTCACCTGGGCAGGTCAGGAGTAGGATCTGCTTACACAAGAGTGCTTGAGGCTGACCTATTTGTACATTAATTAGGAACTTGATTTCTGTAAAAAAACCCAGCTATTAAATGCCAAATGGATTATGTGGCCCTTTGGTTTTAATGAGAACTAATGAGTGGAATAAGAAAGATTCATCCTGTCAAGTAAGCAGCCCGACACAGGCATGGGCTGTTGGTTTGCTCCCTTGCCTTTGCCAGGAGAAAGTCTGGTTCCCACTTGAAGAATAAAAGTGGCATTTCCACTTCTAAAACAGTAGAATGATGGGAAAAGTGGAGGAGTCTATAAAAAAGATGAGGATGGAGAACTTTGGTGGGACGAACCCGGTGTGCCCTAAACAATCAGCAAACCCCCAGGGGAAGCCAAATAGGTAAAGCTTTTGGCTTAAGATAATTGTATTGTAACTATGGTAATTTCAAGGACCGGAAAGTTCCAAAAGCCAAATAACTGGACTCAGGAGTTTATAATTCCAAGGAGTCTAGTTGTGAGGATGAATCTGTGATTGAGTGACACTTTCTTTGAACAAATAGCACAAGCTGCCAAAAACCCTACAAATTCATCGGTCCTAATTCCACTCGTTAAAATTGACAAAGTAATGGTTGAGTACTGACAGCAGCTGGGAAACCTTCTGTCCAAACAACGTCTGACCCTATCGAACAGTTTGCTTGGGTCAGATATGTGTAATAAAATTCAGTTGCTCTTCAAAACCTGACAGTTTTTCAACTTGTGCAACCGTTCTTTCCATTTCTGGACTGGAGGAGGCTGCTACAAACCTCTCTGCTGTGCTTGAAATGGTTCAAAAAGCCACTGTAGGTGCTTTGAAAGATTCACAGTTGGAAATCAACTCACTTGCAGTTTAACTACCCAGAATTGGTGACTTTGGACCATCTCCCCGCACCGTAAGCACCGTCTGTGCTACTAAACTTGTTGCTTTTACACAAAGCTTTCCAAACAGATCAAAGAGTGTAAAGAAGTTTTATAAGTTTGTGTTTTCCATTAAATAGCCCAAGAACAACCTCTGTTAGAGGCTTCTCTAACACCGCTGCTCGGTGGCATCTTGCCTGGGTCCTGACTACCAGACCTTGGAGTGTGGACCTGCTGGATTTTAATACTCTGTCTTAATGATCATCATTCAATTAGTCTCTCCTTGTATCAGACGCTGTTTTCTGCTGCAGATCTGTGGCCTTCCCGCCGAACCCGGAGCTTCGCTGCCTGTGGGAATCGCTGGGCTGCAGGACAGGTTATTTACACAGTGACACAGGCATGCGCTGACTGGGAATCTGTGCCGGGGCCTCCAAGGCGCCAGCTGCCTGCCCTCCCTTGCCAGCCCTCCTCTCCCCTGCCTGCCCTTCGCCAGCTGCCTGCCCTCCCTTGCCAGCCCTCCTCTCCTCTCCCTGCCCTGCGCCAGCTGCCTGCCCTCCCCTGCCTGGCCTGCTCCGCTCTGCTCGGCCTGCCCTCCCTTGCCAGCACTCGCCTCCCTTACCTGCCCTCCTGGCCCCTGCTCTGCCTGCGCTCTCCTGCCTTCCCCTGCCCTCCCCTCCCTTGTGTCCCTGCCCTCCCCTCCCTTGTGTCCCTGCCCTCCCCTCCC